CGATAGGAAGTTGGACGACGTTGTGGCCAGCTGCGTGTCTGTGTAGTTACACCATGGATGGGCACGGACTTTCAGTTTTAGGAGCGGCTGCTGGCCACATAAAGCCAGGCACGCGAGAATTACATACCGGTGGTTGCTGGTGGCTCCAACGGACGTACTGACGAGAAACCCAATTCCGCGAAGGCACCACGTTTTCGAGAAGAAGAAGAAGGCGAAGAGCCTGAGATAGCAGACGCACGTCCGAGAGCAGACTCGACATCGATAGCACTTGCGCTACGGCTATGAGCGAGTGTCCGTAGGATGCTCGGATTCGTAAAGGAGCGCCATCGAGCACGAGTGCTGTTGCACAGAGACATATGAGTACTGAGTGGTCAAGAGACGTACGACCAGCGTAATTCGGGTGAAAATTACCACTCGGTAGAGGAGCACACGACAGGATGGCGTGACGTTGAAGAATAGTAGAGTTAGACATTCCGCCGCTGGTCTGGAATGGAATAGACACACTGTAGTCTGAAATGTTACCCTACTGTTTTTCCACGCCTAGAGTTGTATCATATACGCGGCAGAACGATGGATGCACGTAAATCTGCGCCACGAATGAAAAGTACTGCCAGTGGGAGCGAAAATGAAAGATGATATAATCTATATCTATGAGATTATTCTGAATCGGAGCGCCGGCCGCCCTGAGTTTGATCCAGGTCCATTGGGGCCAGCGCGGCGCCATACACCCTCTCTGGGCCGAAGAATGGACAGTGCGACGCCAGTGTTTCAGCGTAGGCTGTGTGCGGCCGTTAGGGACCACCAGTGCTAGCCTGGTGGTCTGATATATCCAATGTCTTCCCACTGACCATCCTTTTGCCGCCGCGCTGTCGTTTGGCCGATGTCCACGGGCTTCTTCCAGAGCTCTGGCTCGGATCCTGCTCTCGTCAAATCAAGGCAGAGGAGCGTAAGTAAGTATGTCCATTCTCTTTGGCTTTGCAGATGAGCAACGATGTCAGTTTGGCATGACCGAGATGGCCGTCTCAGAATGCATGAGAGCCTAGTAACCCAACAATCCGGAATTGAGATGCGTCCCTCATCAGTGCGTAAACTCTTATAAAATGCATCTATAAATCGGAGGGCACATCTTCAATTTTGATTTGTTTGCCTTTCAGATAGATATGTCCCTGCGGATGTCACGATCAGCAACTCTCCAGACGTGTGAGCCATGCCTCCACTGCAACCTGCTCACCAATTGCATCTCAATCACACGCCAACTACTCACCGGAAGAACATTTTAAACACTATCGGTTTAGAAAGTCGACGTGCAACCCACCCTCTACTAACTGCAACCACTGTGATGGCTGCGCCCCTAACATGACTTCGTTATAGAACTCAATGACTGGCTTCAATAGCTCACAGACTCACTTCGCGAGTAGCTTGTATCGCGCTTATAAAAGCATAATGGCTGAGCTACGAAGGAGCCGGATAGAGTAGCAGAACAACATCGTTTGCGTGTAAATCGTTGTAAGAAAATATAAACGCTCGTACATACCTGCTTCCAATGCGACCTTCAAGTCGGACAGCATCGCGGTCGCAATGAGCCCTTTCTTCCTTGTTTCATTTGACTTTGTGGCCAGTGATGAGACGGTCCTTCGAGCCATGTTTTTCACCACCATAGTCAATGGTGACTTTCAAGTGTGGCAAACCTTTCACACAGCTAATAACTTCTAGTGTATTTGGTTTGATATACCTGTCACATAATGGTCCCATCTTACGACAGTGCGGTTTGTAGATCTTGATTCCAGATCGCGCTCATCTGGCGCTACGCAAGGCATAAATGGGTCTAGAGCAGACGTAAGTTCTAGCTGCCCCTTGCTGGCCGGCCTTCCTTGGGCGAATGATGCAAGCTGATGTGGTCCCTCAGCAATTGTGAGTGACCATCTACCAAATCCCTGTTGTGACTTATATCTCACACGCGGCCAGCAACATCTCAAACTACTATTCCGTCGCAATATGTGGTAAATGAGACTCTGGTTTATCTACACATATGTGTGATTAACTCTTTCTGGGCTAGCTTTCATTGTCTATGAAATCTTGCTCACAGTCGGCGAGATGATCCATCTCCGAAATCATGGATCACTCTTATCTCGCATTCTGCTGCATATCAACACGTTTGTTATGATTGGCCTGGCTGTGTCGAATATGCTATACTTGGCGCCGTGGGACTCTACATCAGTACGCTCTGTTCTTTCTGTTGCAACTTCTCAGCTTTAACGTGATAATCCAGAGGTTTGATTACCATCCTTCGGCCTTGGCTAATCGTTGACAAGACCATCACACTTTTCAGCTGTCACATTGCTCCAATATGCAGCACTCTCTTCGAGATTGGTAGTCTTGTCATGAACGCAGGTATGCTCAGATGTCGAGACCACCTTGGAAAAAAATCTCAATAGATGATTCAGTACTTTCGGCGTTGCGGGTCCAAGCCGTCAGCAAGGGAAATGTACTTTTGTCCCTAATCACACTAGGAGCATCCCTCGTGCCCGCGGCCACCAACTTGGTAAGTAGCATTGCCCACTTTCGGTCTTTCTGGAGAACTAAGATTGTGCAAATTACGTAGCTCTGGCTTGCTGCAAGCTCATTGTACTTGATACGTTACCCGTCATACTCAGTCTGCGCTACCGCAGGGATGTCTATGGCACTTCAAACCAGGTGTGTTCGGGCGCATTTTTAGAAATCGTCTACTCAAAGAATTTTGCATGAAGCTGTAACATCTCATTCATTTTCCACTGATAATTTCGTGCTGAGGCAATCCTGATGCACTAGTAATCATCGGAACACGGACTTTTACAATTCTATGTGATGCGCTGGTGATCGCTATAACATGGTACTACGTGCTACCAACTGACCGCCAATCATGGCGATTGTACTGGAGACATACAGGAAGGAAGTGGCTCACCTTGGAACTTCTGAAAAGTGGTACGTTTCGACATCTCTTGACAGGCTCATTGTTAATTGTCGCATACACAGGAACGGTTTATTTTATGTTCGTCCACCTTGCACAACATTTGTTCCACGTTACTCTAGTGCTGATTGATGCGTCACAGTATTATGCTATTGGTTAATGCGACGGAGATCGTCCTGACGACACTTAGTTATGTCAGTGATTCTTGACCTTACTCTGTGGCTATCAAAATTGACCATTGCCCCACAGGATGGCGCAGATTTTACCATACTCATTCCCCCGTGAGTAGCGATAATTTTATGGGCGTTGGGCCACTGAGTCAAAGGATATAGTTTATCTTCCATCCTCCTTTCTCGCTTTCTCCTGCATATTCGCGAGACCGGGAACAATGACTGCTGTCTAGACTGCGAAGATCATATAATATCCATTGACGACACATCAGATTCAGCTTGCGTCATCTTTTCCCCTAGACCTTCCCCGTCAATCTCCGAAGTCTAGTTGTATTCATCGGACTGGTAAATTAGCAGGCAGGAAAAACGCTCTTTTAATTATGAGAAGCATCGACGACCCCAAGAACGAGAGCTGTATACGACGTAGACGGAGCCGCAGGGCGATTTCGAATACACTTGATTCATCATAACTGCGATACGATGTAGTTTCTTAATTCCGAGCCATTGGGCTTGACAGAATTCATTTTTCTCTGGATGAGAGATGAGGGACTTGGGCGTATCAGTCCGCGAGATTTCAACTAAGTACTGGTGCTATTGGTCTATGGAGACGTAAAGAATTTTATGATCGATAGCCTTCAGTTCGTATGCTCAATGCTTCAGGCAGCTGGGAAAACACACCGAATGTCGGACGCTTTCAGTAAAAACGAATCACAGCGGCCACGACAGCAACATAACTCGAGATATGCGCGAGACAAGAAAGTTTACACAAAGCAAACATTACCGATATGCATTAAAGAAGTGGATATCAAGACGTTTGAATCTCTGGGTTCAGGTTAGCACATAGCCAGACCTATCATACTTGCTGAGTGTCATACGGAAGATCCAGGATACGCTCAAGTCTTTCGCCAACGAGCCGTCCTCCAAACTCCGCATCGGGGCTCCATCGCCGGCCCCAGGAGACGCACAGACAAAGTCGTTCGGCGCACAACTTCGGTAGATATCCCACTACACGTTCGGCCGTTCGCTTGCCAAGGCTGCCGCAGTCCGCATTGTCCGGCTCCTGGTGATATTCGTCGCAGATATCCAATGCGACCTTCAATGGCGATCGCCCCCTGGCAAATAAGGCTAGAGCTTCATCCATGTATTTCCACACATCGCTCTCCCCCAGGGCATATCCGTCGTCACTGGCACCATACATTTGTATACTGATCCGTAGCTCTTGCAGAGATTGATGTGTAGGCGAGATCTTGCGTACGATCAGGTTTACACAACCTAGCGCGCACTCAATGGAGTCAGAGGCGACCCACGAGTCAAAAGCTAAGTGAAGGTGCAGCGAAGTCAGGTAGCAATTGTTGCTGAGAGCAAAATGTTTTTCGAAGTTTGGGTCGCGCAGAGAGGATCTCCTTAGGTTCTTGAACGAGAGAACGAGAGACTGCAGCGACGCGCCGGCCGTTTCAAGGAGTTTGTGCTTATCTCCCATGCGTACCCCCAAGTAGAACCAAAAACCTAGTCGAAGCTGACGAAGCCGGATGTTGAACGGCCCATGTAAGAGCCAAGCTACGACACATGGATGACCCTCGCACATCTCCATCCGGTCTATCTCAATCGTGGTCTCGGGAACGATGTCAGCCAGCGCTGGGGGCATCATGTCGAACGAACGCGAGAACATCTCCTTGTCGGGGCAGCTCTCCCAGCGCACCTCATTTAGGTGCAACTCTCTGAGCCGGAGACACGCGCACAGAAGGCGCGGGAGGTCCGTTCCTTTCCAGTGATGGATATCGACCAGCCGCAGCGTTCTAATCGCGGACCTGGAAAGGTGCAAGTAGAGTCTCTGCGCTACGTTGTCCCTCATCTCACCAGGCATCCATCTTTCCAGAGTCAGATCCTCGACCCTGGGTAACGTCCGCAGGAGTAAAGGCCATTCGCGATCGACACGACTCGGACGTGTGGCATGGTTTCCAGACGTCTTGACGATGGCCAGACGGCGGACATACACCGCGATATGGCTGTCCCGTTTGAGCAGCCTCTCGAAGCGTGTAAAACCGGCTGTGTTCACAAGAGTGATGCTGGAGAGCGTATGTGTACGCGTTCGTGGAAGGAACGCACGACAGGTCAGAGCACAGGCGGCGAGCGATGGAGTGTCGTCCCAGAGATAGTCGATGATACAGTCGCATAGCTCTGGAGGTAGCCGCGTTGCATTTACTCCTGCTAGAAGCGCGACCGCCATCGTCTCGCCAGCCTTCTGAAGTGCTGTTAGTGACGAGAATGAGTGGTGAAGAGAAATCTTTGTAAATGAGACCAATGAGACCATACCTCCCAGTCACGACCTTCGCGCTTTCTGCCGTCCTCGCCACCCCTAGCGATGGCAAGAAGCAAGCCATGTGCGATGCCGAATCGACTGATATACCGTGACCAATATCGTAAACCTGTGACGATCGCGTCGGGTAGCATTGGTGTAACATTTGGGCGGGGCGCACGTAATGACCTCGATGGCCTTCGCCTAGACGGACCGCCGCGGGAGTTTGGCAGCCGTGAGGCGAGGGATGCGCACAATAAGCGAAACTTGAACACATTGGCTCAAGCGAATCACGTCGCTGGAATCCTATGGCTGTATCTTTCGCCAACTTGTTCTACGTGAGGCTGTGAGCGGCAATAGTAGGACATAATACCACAGGTACGCTCTTTTCCTTTGGCTGAGCAAGTTGCTCAGGATTTTTGCCAGCAAGCGATGCATGATTGTATCAAATTGGTCTGCAATAATTCAAGGATGAGTGTCGCAGTCTTCAGCTTGCACATATGGTCACAGTATTAGGTGGACGGGCGTCTGGTGACTGCAACCGACGCGCATGCTCGCGCTTTGCACCTTGGCTAGCACCGTGAAGCGCTTCTCATGATCTCATCCTGGACAACCAAAACTCTTTCATAATATTCTGGCAGATACCCACATCCGTGTTTTGACCTTGAAGTCGACGTTCTGAATGTAGTTTTGAAGAACGAGAGCATGGACCGGAAATGCGGCGACGAGTACGTCCTTTCCATCTGTTGCGCCAAGTATACCTGCGACAATGCCTAGCAGTGCCTGGATCACGAAGGGGGCCAATGATTGGGCCTTTCCGAATTCCAATGTTGACATAGCTGCTCAGCCCCGTCCTGTTAGTGCGCCAAGACATGTCCTACTTATAGTGATGACCTCACCGCATCTTTATTCCCGCTAGCCGAAATGCTCACTAAAACTGCTACACATAACTGTATCAAGACCACTCAGGTGGTCCCTGTCCTCGCCTCATTGATTTGAAGTGGTGATCTGAGCCATGTCTCACATTGCTGGGACGCCTTCTACGGGTATTGACACTCGCTGGTGTCGATCATGGGCCCACTAGGCTCAGTCTCAGCTTATGCACAAGCTCGCTGTGTTACATTCTGAGGACTAGGACTAGTAAGTCTCAAACAGCCGCATCTTGTCGTGGAACTGCATCATACCACATCAAACACCCGGGTATGCCATGTCAGCTGCCACTGCACCAGCGCAACAGACTCATCCTATCACCACCTGTCCACTGACGTATCGCACCACCTGGATCCACTGCAGCCATCTGAAACTCTACTGGCCACTTGTAGATCCACTCAGTTGCATGGGGTAGATCTCCTACTAGTGTCAGTCTAATCTTTAGCGGCTGCCCCCTATCTGTCTGTATCCGCAGCGGGAGCTGTGAACTGGGCGTTCTCGGTCCCGAAGCCGGGCCCTTGGCAAGTTCATGCTGATGGCGGCGCCAAGGGACAGTGTGACATACGTGCGGTAGATCAGTACGTCGAACCAATGGACTGGTGCAAAGTTTGGCTGACACGGGTGGCTGCATGAGGTCAGATCGTAATTCTACGCACGCCGGTCACCCGGTGGATATACTCACCGCGATGTTATATTAGGACAGGAACGGGGGTATATTGACTTGTCTTCGTAGGCAGGCACATCGTTCGTGCGGAACCTTACAGTTCGTGTTTTCTCTATATGACCTGAGCGCCTTATTGCAGCAGTGTATTAGCTCTATGGGGACACTACGATTGCGTCGCCCCCCCCCCCCCCCCCCCCCCCCC